ATTTTTTAAAACTGTTTTAGATAACTATAATATTATTATAATTAAAATATAATAATAATAATTGTCTCTTTACTGTAATTTTAAAAAAAACTTTTAAATGTTTTTGACATTTTTCATTTTTAACTTTAAAGACTGAGATGGATAAAGCGTTTGAGTGTGTCGTGTCTGATGTTCCTTCTGCAGACCTTTCTCAGTTCCAGCTCTTGTCCTGAGATTCACGGATTCCTCCACGCCAAAGAGCACGGCAGGAAATCCTGGAAGAAATTCTACTTTGTGTTACGAAGATCAGGACTGTACTTCTCCAACAAGGGCACATCAAAGGTGGGTTGAGATCGTCACATTCTGCTCGAGGTTAGTCGCTAAAACACTCCACCTCTGATCTCACTGCCACAGAGTCTGCAGGGATTAGCTTTAATTGTTCACAATAACAAAGGGAATTCGGGGAAGTCGTGGCCTAATGGTTAGAGAGTCGGACTCGTAACCCAAAGGTTGTGGGATCGAGTCTCGTACCGGCAGGGATTGTAGGTGGGGGGAGTGAATGTACAGCGCTCTCTTCCACCTTCAATACCACGACTGAGGTGCCCTTGAGCAAGGCACCGAACCCCCAACTGCTCCCCGGGCGCCGCAGCATAAATGGCTGCCCACTGCTCCGGGTGTGTGTTCACGGTGTGTGTGTGTTCACTGCTGTGTGTGTGCACTTTGGATGGGTTAAATGCAGAGCACTAATTCCAATTATGGGTCACCATACTTGGCCACATGTCACGTCACTAATACCACTTACTCTTACTATAAGAATCCCTTAAATGTGAGCTGCGTGTCTGAAATGTGTCTTGAGTTGCGAGATTGTGCAGAATATCACCGGTTCATTCAGGTGCTGAGGTTCAGACTCTTATCTGATGAGCCTCGTTACTAGATGAGATATAGTCAGATCTAACAGTGCAGCTTTATGGGGCTTAACTCAATCAAACTGGTAGAGCCGGATTTTGTGTAACACTCGTGGTATGCCAAGTGCTGAACCCTTCAAAGTCACACAACAGGTGAGCTGTGTACTCGCACACTACTGTGCCAACCTGCACTGCCCTCGCTCTTTTGCTTTTACCACAATAGTGCTTTTGTTCAGGACATAAGAGGAGCTCGCTCTCCACTTCATGATATCAGGCTGTTTCTATGGGCACTTTTACAAAATAAACTCTCATAAAATGCTATATACACTTCATACGCTCATTACTTTATTTAATGTGTCCACAAACACTGGACATACTGTATATGCATCAGAGGAGAATTCTATCTTAAATTATGTATTTAGTTTGATAACATACAGTTATATAAATTACATTTTGCACATTTTTGGAATTAAATGGGTGACACCTTTGCTTTGTCATTTTAAGGCAAGTTTCATAGCTGGTGTTTTATGTATCTTAAATGCACAGTTGTTTTCATTGTGTAATTTTGCTAAATTTCAATTATACTTGCACATGCTGGCGTGGATACAGCACCACATGAAAATAAGAATAATAAGAATGTTCAATTGAAATTCTATAGAAAAT